CCCTAATTTCAGCATCTCAATTGCCCTTCAATGCCCTGTTTTCCCTCGTGCTAAACGCGCAAAAATTCACAGCTTTAATACTCAACTCTGTTGTGGTTGTCACAATCTCAGCTGCATTACTAGCAGTTAACTCAGAATCTGAAACTAGTGAGGAGTTTTCAGGTGGAAAATACGCGATTGGATTCATTTGCACGGTGGCTGCATCATCAGCTTACGCGTTATACCTTTCTTTATTAGAGTTAACATTCAAGAAAGTAACTAAAAGTGATTCATTTGACACAGTATTGAAAATGCTGTTTTATCCGTCATTCGTTGCTAGTTGTTGTTGTGTTGTGGGGCTATATGTTAGCGGAGAAATGAGTATTTTGACAGCAGAGATGAATGGTTTTAGCAAAGGCGAAGTTTCGTATTTGATGACATTGATCTGGACTGCAATTCTTTGGACAATTGGTTGGATTGGTATGATGGGATTGATCTCTGAAGTATCTTCTTTGTTCTCAAATGTTATAGGTACTTTGGGTTTGCCTACTGTACCAGTACTTGCTGTGTTTTTCTTTCATGATAAAATGGATGGTGTAAAAATCATTTCTTTGTTACTTGCTGTTTGGGGATTTCTTTCTTATGTCTATCAGAATTATCTTGATGACTCCAAAGACAAATCCACAAAATCTGAGGACATTGAAGCTACTATTACTCATTGACAAATTCTAAATGGCGAAAAACATAGAGCGTACATGCTACATTATCCATCCATCCGTGAAGCTGAGGCAAGAGGAAAAGCGTAATTCTCTAGTGTCATAGGTTATGCTACATTCTCATGCTCTCCCTTCCGTCCGTGAAGCTGAGGCAAAAGAAAAAACGTAATTCTCTAGTGTCATAGGTAATATGCTACATTCTCATGCTCTCCTTTCCGTCCGTGAAGCTGAGGCAAGAAGAAAAACGTAATTCTCTAGTGTCATTAGGTTAGTTTTCCATTTGGATTTTCAAATTGTGTCAGTTTTTTTAGAGTAGTGGTGTTTATGTAGTAGTGTGTTGATTTGAAAATATGAAGTTTTTTATTATTATTGGACTCTTTGAATTGTGAAAATTTAGAGTGTTCCGTTGGCTCTTGAGTGCTGAATTCAATATGGCAACATTTATTCTCCTTTTTGTTTAAAGTTGAAGAATATTTGATATTTAATTGCAGGATCTATTAAATAATGGTTATTATTAGTAGTAATTGTTTGTTTATTTTAAAAAGAATAAAATAAGTTACAAAATCTAGATGACAGTTACATATGATCTTTTTTTTTAAAAAAAAGTTGTAATCTATTTAAAGGTTACTATAATTTGTTGATTGTTGCTCTTTAATCATCCTTTAGTAGTAAAAGCAAATAATCCCAGATATAGAAAATATATTAAATTACCAAGGCAATTTAAGTAAGGATTTTTTAATTTAGTACTGGTTTCTCATAATCACATTTTCCTTCTATCAAAAATATTTTAGATGACAGCCTCTTAAATTTTCAGTAAATTTTATTTAAATATTAGAATTATGATATATTTTAATTAAATACGTAAACATATGATAAAATGTACTTAGTAATTTCACCTCAAAATTTTGATTCATTACTTTTGGTTTATAATCATCTCAATTTAAAGAATTAGTTCTTCTAATAAATAATGTTACGTCAAGAATTATTTGAATCATTTTTTTTGTGAAAAGGATATCTTTCTATACTATTTTTAATGTGCGCACTATAATAAATTTATAAGTATATGTTATGCTTAACATACAATGAGATATTTACACTTCAACCTCAATATTTTTTTTGTCGATTAATTAATTTGAATTCACACTAAAATTTTATTTTGAAAGAATACTCAAACATGAAATCTCTAATAAAAGATATTCATCCCACCATGATCTTCGATTGTGATAGGCTAACATAGTTAGTTAAACTTCAGATAAAAAAATATTGAAATATTTCACTCCCAAATAAACTCGATCTCATCAAATGATGAACTCCCTTCATTTTAATTAATTTATTTTGCCTATCTTTTAGAAAAATGTCTCCTTTTTCTTTTGACAATTCTTTAATTCTAATAAGTTTTCACATAGAATGTTTAACAACATGAGATTAATTAACAATATTTTTATATGTTCAACATATCTTTAATTTAATTAATCACAAAACTCAATTTTTTTCTTAATGTTCTCAAATTTTCTGTCAAGTTAAAATTAAATAAATAAATTAAAACGGATATAGTATTATTATCTGTTAGTGAAAGCTAATAAACCAACAATATCAAAGTCCTCTCTTGTTTTTTCTTGTAAGTTTATCCACTAGTCTCTATTGAAAGTATTAAATATTTTGATTTTGCTAGCTATCGACATCTTTGTTTTTATCTGTATATGTTTAGCTATTCACTTGTCCCTATAATGACATTTTAAAAAAAATAAAAATATAGTGCTGAAAATTTGAATTTAAAACATCAAGATAAATTATAAATTTCTTAATCACTAATCAATCTCTACTTTTATGTTTAAGAGATTCAAAAGCTATATACTATATCGTGATTAGTTATACATAAATAAAATATTTACTATTAAAAGATACCTTGAAGGTTCCTCAAACCTATTTTTGAATTCTTAGATATATAATTTTAAACGAAATACAAATTTTAGATAAATTCACATTATATAAAATATTTTCACTCTCATTAATAATCACATACAAGTCGATAACTCTATATAGAATATAAAATGGTGGTTGCATACCCATGACATGTACTGGATCAATCAAATCCTTATTGAATTTTATCTTTGCTATTAGTTAGTGGTTGCACTCTAGGTTTCGTATTCAAAAAACTAGAAGAGGTATAATCCCTTTTCGATGTGGTTAAGGTAAAAGATAGATATCAGAGAATAAATTTTAAAGTAAAATTGATTTTTTCGTAGGTCAGTAATTGGATAAAGTTTAATAGTTTCTATTCTATTTAGGTCTATGAATTTCTCTATCAATTCCATTATCTTATTCTTACCCATGAAGTTTCAATATTTTCTTCGATTGTATGAGTAGCTCCTAAAGTGAAGAAACCCACTTTTCAATCCATTACGACTCCTCAAGTGTCACTCCTGAATAGATTTTACAATGCATGATCTGAATTTAATCAAAACTCTAATATAAAAATCGAAACCTCAAATGCAGGCTCTGAATATTGAAAAGAAAACTTAAAAAAAAAAAAACTTATTTCTAAACTATGAAATTCCTAACAATGTTGAAATTTTAGGTGGAGATTATTTCTCCAATTGTTACCAACCAAATGTTTATCATGTGCAGGAACCAAGGTATATTAACTGCATGGGTCCTTGTGATTTATAGATTCTACCTAATTTATTTTTCGTATAAGCATTGAATTCAATGAGTGATTTAGACTAGTAAGGAAGTCATTCCATACACGACATTAGGAGTGATTGTGGTATGATATATAATGAATTATTTTATCATATTAAAAATTTTAATATCGTAATTTTATTATTATGATTTTTGATATGATATATGGTGTATATTTAATTTTTTTGATATTCGATATGATAATTGATATATAAAAATATATAGTGAAATACCAAATATCATATTGAAGTATATAGTTACATAAATAACATATATAGATATTATATTATTATTATTATTGTTATCATTAAAATACTAATAAATATGCAACTTGGACTACTTTATTTTGATCGAAATGACAAAAAGAGTTGTTTTTACTTTCTTTTGAATACATATTTCTACATGTGTAATGTGTTAGTAAGATAAATTGAAATCTTTTTTTGAATTGTCGAAGTCATAATACTCTATTATACAAATATATATTAGTCGCAGTTGAACAAATTATGGTTATCAATTTATGATACCGCAAAATATCAAACCATACCGAATTAAATTGGTATATTAATGGTATAATAATTTTAAAAACCAAATATCAATATTACCGTACTTAATTTTTAAATACCGTACCATATCATACTATGTTCAACCCTACACGATAGTGTTTGATAAGTTTGATTCGGTTATTTATTACTCCCATCGTCCATCTCTACTGCTTGTTTAATATACTAAAAATAATATCTAACTTTATTTGTCTAGTTTGAAGATAATTTATTATTTTGTGTTTAGTTTACCCTTGTTATTAAATATTTTTTAATATTTAGGTGACTTATAATTTGTAGAAATAATATATCTATTTATTATTTCTTAAGCAAATAAAGTCAAACATGAACAAGTAAAAATGAACGAAGAGAATACTAATAGACAAAAAGTCATGTGGTGTGTAAAGTTAGAATAATGGTAAGACTATAAGTACTATTCATTTTTAACTAGATGTCATCAATTTTTTTGACGAAAAGTGTTTGTTTTTTAGTAAGGAACATTTTATCATGATGTGAAATTTTCTAATACGAACATGGCCGTATCTATTAATTGCCTTTTAAATTACGTATTATATTATTATAAGGTAATCATGAAGAAATGTACGTCATTTGAGCCAATCTCGTACCAACATGAATTAATAATTATGGTATAGTAATAAAATTATTTTATTCGTAATCAGAGATCTCAAATTCGAGCTTTAAATATAAAGAAAATTATGTCGAAGCGCTACCCAAAACAAATCCTATGGTGCATTATTCAAATTTATCGAAACTACAATACGAATATCGAATCGAATGAGAAACCAAAGAACTCATTGTGAATAAGTCAACTTTTACCTTTTTCATCACTTTAAATTAGTCAAAGTTGGCATACAGACACAATACAGTTGGCTCTAAAAGAGAGAATTTTCAACTTGTAGGACTTTCTGATATTTTGTATACGTGATAAGGGGGCGGAGTTAGGAGTACCACGGATTTATCTGAATTTTCTTCATCAAAAAATTATAAATCTCGTTGACTTTTTTGTATTTTTTTTTTTATATTCTGAATCATCTTAGTGAAAATTTTGATTTCTCTCCAATGTACCTGATGTTTTTTTGCTTTCTTTATTAAAGAAGAACAGGGCTCTATTATCACTCTGTGTTAATTTATTCATGGAGAACTCTACTCAACAAGTGGAGCTACAAATCCCAGGTTTGTCACTTATTTTCCTTTCAAAATTTGTTTTTTCCCATCATTTTTAGCTCTTTTATTATCAAAATTTGCTACTCTTTTATGAAAAATTATAATAATTCAAGTAAAGGAGGAGAGGTATATAAGGCATGTTCCTATGATTCTTATTAGTATCAATCGCCTAAATTCAATTTGAAAATCTTAGTAGGTCAGCTGGTTGGTTATTTGAACTTTCAACTGTTCGATTAAAATAATCGATAACTACTTTGGTGCTAATTATTCATTTTGTGGTGTATGACACAAAGAATCAAGCAGGCAAATATCAGAAGATGATGATCATATATTATTATAAGTGGGAAGTTCCAACATTCAAAGTTGGATTACCATTTTGCCCCTCCACTAAATCAAAATAAAATTAATTAATTTATTAAATATTAATATTTTAATTACATAATGGTGGAATATGAAGTCCAACAACTACACTTCAATAATGAATGACTCTTCCAATTCAGTGACTCCTTGAATTTTGAAACCAAAATAAAATTTATGTATCATGATTCAATGTGCTCCATTAATTTGGTAGGTGAAAAGACAATCAAAATCACTGTAAATATCAGTAAATTACTTCCTAGAACATCATATTCTTTTCTTTTCTATCATCTACTATTCTCTTTTCTTTTTCCTAGATAATGATATAGATACATGTCGTCATAAAACTAACTAAGGAGAAGAACAAATAGCTTCAATTTGAAATTAAATAGAGAAGTTTTCTTACAATATAGTTCAAGCGTTAAACTTAGAAGTATAAGATATGACTTATATATTCCTTTAGATCTTTTTTATGTTAGCTTATGATTTTGAGTTTTTCTTTTCCATTTTGGAATTAAGTGCTTGTTCAAAATAAATTTGGTTTGCAACCCATATTTTTATGTAATTCTCTATCATTTTGCATTGTTATGAAAAAAAAATTCTTTGTTTTTGTGTTATTATACTTTTAAGTGTTACTTAATTATCAAAACTTCTATTAATACATGATGAGTTTGATAATACTTGAATAGTTTATGCAATATGCTTTTGTTTAAATACAAGTAATTTAAATAAAAATTGCTAAAAGATTATTACTTTGAATGAAAGATTTTGATTGTGTTAGTTTGTCGTCTATCTAACATAGTGTTGCGAACACATGCACATATTTTTCATTTTCACCCATTTTGTTCCATGTTTTATTTTTCTACAATTTATACAATATGAAATTTAACAATTTAATTTTCAAATAAAAATGAGAGTTGCATTTACATTTATGCGACACTAAGTCTAATAGTTTCTTAAACATAAGTATTATATATTAATGGTAGCTTTTCGTAGTGTTATAATTCAAATTGTATGATGACAATTTTGCTTTGGACATTTTGGTTGTTTCTTTATGTTATCCTTCAACACTCAATTGTTACTACTAAAGACTATTCCTCAAATTAAAATCACGTAAACAATATTATGAGAATGGAGTAATTAAGCTTCATTTTGTTTAGATTTTAGTAATATAAGTTAACAAGATTATTATTATTATTTTATTATCATATATTTTTATAAGTGGGAACAAAAAAAGTTGAAAGTTGAAATATCAATATATCCCTATAAAATTGAGTTACTACAATAATGCCATTAAAAAAAGCTACTCTAAATTGAAATGTTATAAATATTTTTTTAATTATATTTAGATAGTAATTATATAATATTATAGTATACAATTATAGAAAACCAAAAAGTTGTAGTAAATACCATTCATACAATTAATAAATCAGTTAATAGTAAGAGACTATATACATTTAACCGTATGTCATTAGTATATGAATAACTTGGATGTTTAGGCTTCTCCTTATAGACCGTGAAACATGAATTTTGAATTCTCAGACTTAATAATGTGTATTTACTGTTTCTTGAACTTTGTATTACTTCTTTAATACTCCCTATGTCCCTAATTACTTGTCCACTTTTGAATTGACACATCTATTAAGAAAATAATGATTTACGTAGTGAGTTTACCATTTTACCCCTATTAATTATGAAGTGGATGAATTAAAAACTTAAGAGTTTCAAAAAGCTCTACAGTTTTCAAAGTAATTAATTGAGGGTATACTAGGTAAGAAAAATTGTCCTTTCTTGATTTGTCAAAATTGACAAGTAATTAGAGACAACTAAAAAAGGAAAAGTGGACAAGTAATTAGGGACAGAGGGAGTACTTAATTATGTTTATTTAATGTCAATCTTGAATTGCTTCATCATCCAATCTTTATTGCAATATTAACTTTTGAAATGTCAATGTACATGTAATCAATCAAGGATTTATTTTCCTAATAAAATATACTCAACCTTTTCATTCATTTTCTCCATACACGAAGAGTTTAGAAGCAATAATTATGATTTAGAAGAATTGAGCTTTTGATGATTTAGTAGTGAACCAGCATGGGATGTAATCCTGGTTGCCTAATAGATGCTGCTTCTTGAAAAGGTATTTAGTGTGTGAAATGAAGTTTTTGTTATTTTCTTGTTGCATCTTTTAACCAAAATAAATTACATACTTTTGAATAAACCTAAAGATTATGTGTCACATCCTAAAGATAATGGAGTTACTGGACATGTATACATGGGAATAGCATGGTTGCCTCGAATGTGGTGCATCATTATTTGTACACTTGTGCTTTTTTTTATTGGTAAAAAGCAAGTTAGTCCTATTTAGGTGTTTTAATCATTTTTTTAATATTATAAGTATCATCGCTAATTCTATGTCAGCAACTTCGATAATGTTAGATGTTGTATTATCTTAATTAGTTTTACATAGTTCAACATTTCCTATTTAGTGAACTATTCCCTCTGGTCTTTTTTAGCTGTTACTATTTTCTTTTGAATAGTCAAACGATATAAACTTTAACTAACATTTTCAAATGTATTTTTCCATCATATTGATATGAAAAAAATTGCAATTTATAGTATTTTTCGTATAGTTTTTGAATATCTAAATTCTTATTTCAAAATATCAAATTAGTGTAATCTATTAACTTTAGAAATTAGTCAAATTGACTCTCAAAAAGTGCAATATGACAATTAAAAAAAGAAATAGTGGGAGCAATAACTAAAATTGTGTTAAAATTAGATGATATTGTTGTGTTTGACTAAACACATGCTAAGTAGAATAATACATTAAATTAGGCATGTACAAATTTTATAAAAATAACAGTTTTTGAAAACATGGGTTTGAAGATATAAAATTAGACATGTACAAATTTTATGAAAATAATAGGGGATAAACGTGCAACGCACGTTCCCAAAGACTAGTACAATAAATACAAATCAGCAGCAACAAATTTCAAGATCAAATAAACACTATGGATGGTGGTTTAGAATATTTTTATACATCATTTTTCTCCTTGTTGGCCAATCTGCAGCTACACTTTTAGGAAGATTTTACTATGATGAAGGTGGAAATAGTAAATGGATGGCAACATTTGTTCAATCAGCTGGTTTCCCAATCTTGCTTCCTCTGTTTTTTCTCTTTAAATCTTCCAAAAATACCGCCTTTTCATCGCGCGAAAAGCCATCAAAATCTTCCCTTTTTCTCATCTATCTGTTTTTTGGACTAATGTTAGCAGGTGACAATTTGATGTATTCATATGGTTTGTTGTATCTTCCTGTCTCAACTTATTCCCTCATTTGTGCATCTCAATTAGCCTTCAATTGCCTGTTTTCGCTCCTACTAAACGCGCAAAAGTTCACAGCTTTAATACTCAACTCTGTTGTGATTGTTACAATCTCAGCTGCATTACTAGCAGTTCACTCTGAATCTGATACTAGTACGAAATTATCAGCTGGTAAATACACGATTGGATTTGTATGCACGGTGGCTGCATCAGCAACTTACGCGTTATACCTCTCTTTACTAGAAGTAACCTTCAAGAGGGTGATCAAAAGTGAGACATTTGACACAATATTGAAAATGCAAGTTTTTCCTTCATTCATTGCAAGTTGTGCTTGTGTTGTGGGACTATACGCGAGCGGAGAAATAAGAATTTTGACAGCAGAGATGAATGGTTTTAACAAGGGCGAAATTTCGTATTTGATGACATTGATTTGGACTGCTGTGCTTTGGCAGATTTGTTGTATTGGATTGCTGGGATTGATATTTGAAGTGTCTTCTCTGTTTTCTAATGTGATAAGTACTTTGGGTTTGCCTGCTGTGCCAGTACTTGCTGTGATTTTCTTTCATGATAAAATGGATGGTGAAAAAATCATTGCATTGTTGCTTGCTGTTTGGGGATTTCTTTCTTATGTGTATCAGAATTATCTTGATGACTCCAAAGCCAAATCATCAAAATCTGAGCAGAATGAAGCCACTATTACTCATTGAGAAGTCTAAATGACGCTCGAGGCAGGAGGAAAAACGTAATTCTCTAGTTTCATAGTTTTAACTTTCATTAGAATAGTGATGTTATGTAATGTGTGATATGAAAATATGATCCTTTTCTATTATGTGGGGGAAATTGAATACAATATGATGATTCATTTGATCAAGGTCATAACCATCATGTCATTAACATTTTATATTATTCACTATAGTCAAAGTGTAAGTGATCAAATTGATCAACTTTACAATTACAAGCACATATAGTGGTAGATTTTCCCTATATAAAGGTCAATTATAATTTATATGTAATTAATTAGTTATCCTATTTAACCCACCCCCACTAGTTTTTTGGTTTATTAGTTATAGCATCTTCAGTAACATAGTTGAATAATTTAACAACCATTAGAATTAAAATTAAAGAGTTAGGTTTATGTCCTTTTCCTTTGTATGCTATTTATATTTCTTTTTCACCGGTCACAATTCACTTTACGAGAGTCATTTTAATTAATTATTTTGAAGCTTAAATTGAATTATTTGAAATTTAGATGCTCGAAAACTATATGAAATATACGCTAAGTTGTAATCTTTCTCATATTAATATATTCTTGTTGTCTCAATTTATATGACACTTTTTATTTTTCGAGAGTCAAACAGTTTAAGTTTGATCGGAAATTTATGTATGAAATCTTCAAGTTTTTTAAATGAAATTTATATATTTGTAAACTACGTAAAAAATACTATTAAGTCACAATCATTGACAATTCAAAATAATTAAAATAGAAAATTTACAATTAAATATAAACTTGTTTAGATCTTAAAATTCGAAAAATGTCACATAAATTGAGACGGAAAAAATAAGTCATCATGTCAAACCTCCCACCACCCCGTAAGGTAAAAGCTCTTGCCCCCAAAAAGTTCTATTATTCTTCGCCAACAATAGGAATTTTTTTTTTTTTTTTTTGTCGAAAGTCACTTTTGGAACAATCAACAGCGCTTTATCCTCAATATTTCAATATCAGACATTTATGCGAATTTGAATTTAATCGGACTTCAATATAAATATCAGATGAGTGAGAAAACAAAAAAAAAATCCCTAACTAATTAAATTGTCTTCTTGAAAATAAAATACAATATCAGGGGGTTAATTATATATTGTCTCAAAAATTATTAAGTTGGATGACTAATAATAGATGAGCAGCCAAAATACAGTACAAAGTGTGTACAGACAAAAAGGCTACACAACTTTTTGTCGTTAATCTAACAACATCGTAACTTTTAGTATACGAAGAACAGTTTCTTGGTCTGGAGCAAAAATCATGGTGCCGGCAGCCGCGATAATTTCAGCTTCAATAACGTATATTTAAGTTGTTATGATTGAAAGGTTTAGACTAATTAAATTTTGGAATAAACGGGTTTAAAATGAATTTGCAATGCATAAATTTAAATTTAGTCACGATAAAAATAAACCTATACGCAATCTTCATTTTGTGTTTACGTGACTGAATGCTATTAATTAGTAATAACCATATTGCAAATAAAGTTTTGGTTCAATGACAAAAGTTGGAGATCCTATAACTTCTCTAATTGTGTTGATTTTTGTAATCTCTCTAAAAAAAAATGCCGCCTTCAATTTTTGTTCTATCATTAGATTAGATAGTTGTTTAAGGAGTTTGGTGTCACCAACGTAGATGGTGTTGTGAGATGATTTCGGATCTCTTCATCTTAATTCGAAGTTTTAGGTTTGAGTCTCTCCAAAAATGAAAAAAAACTCAGTTGAAAGTATCATCCTAAAAAAATGTTACCTATATATAATAATTTGTAAATTTGAATTTACTTAAATCGCAATATAAACACCTAAGACCAGATTAATAAGTGCCACGCTAAACCAAACACAAAAAAAAAACAATTTATAATTGTCGAATAATATTTATTCATACTTATTAATTTATCATAATTAAGTAATTATTTATTGTCAAAATATATATTAACTAATATGATTAAGTGATATAAGTTTATGTGCACAGAAGTATGTAAATAAAAAACATTTTTTCTTACGACATATTTAACACAATTAATCTACGTATAGAAACAAAAAGAGTAATAATGTATTTGAACAAAGGGAATAAATTGCGTAAAATGCTGTTCCTTTTTTCAACAATTATATTGTTTTCCAATTAATGTGATTTTGGTTGATTGTATTAAATGATGGTTATTATTAGTAATTTAAGAAAGAATAAAATAAGTTACAAGATCTAGATGACAGTTACATATGATCTTTTTTTCAAAAAAGATGTAATCTATTTAAAGGTTACTATAATTTGTTGAATCATTACTCTTTAATAATCCTTTAGTAGTAAAAGCAAATAATCCCAAATATAGAAAATTAGTATTAATTTACCAATTGGCACTTTAAGTAAGGATTTGAATTTAGTACTGATTTCCGGTAAATGCACAAGCATATCACATCAACCAAAAATTTGGATTTTTTTTAATGTGTGTTCACATACACAAATGGGATAAATAAGTTAATTGTATAAAATATATTTCTGTCTTTATTTAGATACAATAACATCAATTGAAACACGCATTAGAGGTTTTACGTCTTATTGAAATTAATACATAATTAAAGGAACAACAATAACAATAACATATTCATTGTAACTTCACATGTGGAGTTTATTAAGGTTGGTGTGTACGTTGTAATATGTGATTCTTTTAAGTGGTTAACTTATCTTCATAATAATGACTGAATCACACATAATTTTTTTCTTCAATTTTTTTATTGGACGTGTTTAATAAGAACACTTAAATCATTTTTTTAGATACTAAAATTTCAATATGTCTTAGTTCGAATTTCTCGAATTAAATTTAGGATCCATTTGAAATGCAATACGAAATCAAACTAATAAAAAGTAGAAATTTTGTTAGGACATACAATTTAGATTTCTAAAGTTAGATAAAACACAAGAAAATTATCAAAAGAATTCTACAATTCTCATACAAGCTTATCAAATGAGCAAACCAATTTTCATAAACAAGAAAACGAAATTAAGACGACCCAATGATAAATCACATTTCTCCATGTCCCTTTCATCAATAAATATCTATAATTACAAACTTTCAAATACACATAATTTCATCAATAGTATTAACTAGTTGTTCTTTACATAATTTTTTCACATGACAAACATAATTTCTTCACACCACCGAAAACAAGTTTATTTTGGAAAATTCAAAATTATCTTCTTTTTTTTTTACAAAATATATATTTAAAATCATAATTCCAAATCCCAATCCAAATACGAATTTAAAAATCGTAACTTCATATATCACATATCGAAACGCAAACTTGATAAAACCAAAGTTGACAACACATTGAAAAATTATAAAATAACATCCCGCCCATAGTCAAAATTTAAAAAATAATAATTTGGGGACTCTATGGCCTGAAACGAAACTATAAAAGGACTACCCCACGTGGCGCACTAACTTGAACACCAACACACACAACTCTTCACTTCACTCCACTCTACCAAGTCAAAAAATAATAATATAAAAATAGATTCAGTTATTTGCTTCACATTTTTCCTGCTCATTCTCCTCTCATTCGTCGCCGCATCCGCCGTCGATAGGAATCTCCGGCATCGTGAAACCGGTAGGGTTAGGTTTTTCAGTGAAATGGAAGGCGTCATTGGCCTTGTGAACAAAATACAGAGGGCTTGTACGCTCCTCGGTGATTACGGTGATGATCAAACTTTGCCTACTCTTTGGGATGCTCTTCCTACAATCGTCGTCCTCGGTGGACAGGTTCGATTCATCTACACCTATTTTTGTGGTTTTGTTTTTGCTTATATCTGTAATTTGTTGTTTTTTGTTTGATCGGTGTCTGTGATGGAGGTTTATTAGTCGTGATGGTTAATTTCGCGTTGTTGACGTGTTTTTTAAAGTGATTTTACTGAATTATGGTGCTTTTATAGAGTTCCGGGAAGTCTTCGGTGTTGGAGAGCATCGTTGGCCGGGATTTTCTACCTAGAGGATCAGGTAATGGTTTAATTGTACGAATTGTATTCGTAGGGTTAATTTTCAGTTTTTTAGACTGTAGTTTCCATTGGAGAATTTTTACCCACTAAGACCTAAGGTGGTGGTAACAATAATTTAAATCAGGAATAGAGATGAAAATCCTGTAATCGTGAGGCTTCGGGATGTTGATTGACATTTCGAGAACATGCATATAGAGATCAGTCACTGGAGTAGAATATCAAAAAGTTTAAAATCTGATTATTTTTTTTCATAAAATAAAATGAAATCATCTGCTTTAGAACAGGTTTGCTCTGATTCCAGCAAAATATGTATATAAAAAAGATTCTTTTATTTCATTAAGAAGAAGAGAGAAATGAGTACTTGATAGTTGGTACCCCAGTAAATGCTTTTATTAACACGTGCAGATAGAGAAGACAGACTAAAATAAGGTTACATTAGAGAAAAAGAAGTTTTTTTAATTGAACTGCAGCACACAACCCAGTAGCACTTAATTTGAGAGAAAATGTGACAATTAATTGATAAGTTAGAAAAAATGCCAACTTTTATAGACTATAGTTAGTTTTAGACCTTTTGACCTAATGATTGGAGTTTATGCTTATGGGTATTATCATGATTTGCTCGAGTTAAACTTTCTTATCACAATGACATTGATTCTAAATGTCTATTTAAAAAATAAAATTATATTTCTTTTCCTTTGTCTTTGACCTTCAACTGTTCCACTTCACTATTTTAGACATACTCCAAAATTGATACTTATAATTTTCAGGATGCCACATTGGAATTATTGTAGAAACACACCTTAAAATTCTACTCCACTGCACTCTTGCTCTGCTAGTAGAATAAAAAATATGTAATTTATTTGGAAAAAGAAGTTATAAACTACTATATTTATACTCTGTCCGTCCCTTTTGTTCTGTTTTCACATAGCAACATTTGTTTTGGGGCAGGAATTGTAACGAGAAGGCCATTGGTTTTGCAACTTTACAAGATTGAACCAGGACAACAAGACTATGCACAGTTTCTTCACACTGGAAATAAGAAGTTCCTAGATTTTGGTATGTTGCTGTTTTGAAGTTGTGCTACAATGCAGATATTCTGTATAGCTTCTTCTGCTTTACTATTATGCTATCCAGAATACGTTGTCATATTTCTTCTGCTGTTCTGTTAGTCCATTACCATATCCATTTTGGAATTGAATCTTTTGTGTAATATCATT